TTGAATCAGTCATGACTAATCAACGTTCGATGAAGGAACTCGAAAGTACGCTGTTACATCGACTTACATCCTCCGAAGGTTCCTTGGTGGACGACGAAGAGCTAATAACTGTACTTCGAGAAACCAAGACTACAGCCGAGTCGGTGAATGAAAAACTGCAAGTGTCTGCTCTTACTGAGAAAAAAATCACGTTGGCACGCGAAGAATTTCGCGCAGTTGCGTCGAGAGGATCCATCCTGTATTTCTTGATAGTTGAAATGAGCAACGTTAATGTGATGTATCAAAATTCGTTGAGACAATTCTTGACAATCTTCGATAACTCGATCACGAAATCTACGAAGAGTCCGATTACTTCCGAACGGATAAACATAATTCTGCGTCATCTTACGTACGAAGTTTGGGCGTTTACTTTGAGAAGTCTTTACGAAAGGCATAAATCTTTGTTTACACTAATGCTAGCCATGAAAATAGATTGTCATAGAGGTATTATTTCTCACGCAGAATTTAACGCTTTTATAAAAGGCGGAGCATCTTTAGATCTTAATGCAGTAACGCCGAAACCATTTAAATGGATACTCGATATAACATGGTTAAATTTAGTCGAAATAAGCAGATTAGAAGTATTTTCGGATATTTTAACGAAAATTGAATTTAGCGAAAAAGAGTGGAAAATATGGTACGAAAAAGAGAAGCCGGAAGAGGAAGAATTGCCTTGTGGCTATCAAAAGAGTCTTGATGTATTCCGAAAATTACTTCTTATAAGATCGTGGAGCCCCGACAGAACTTTATCCCAAGCAAGAAGATATATCATCGAATCGTTGGGCAAAGAATACGGCGAGGCTAAAATATTGGACTTAGAAGCAACGTGGTTAGAATCAGAAACTAGATCGCCACTCATTTGCTTATTATCTATAGGCTCTGATCCGAGTCCTCAAATTACAGCGTTAGCTAAACAAAAAGCAATTTGTAAGTAATAAATTATTCTTAGTAATTTTATTAATTGTTCTAAGAGCAATTTCAAAAATTAAAATTTCCTTTAATATAATGTAAAAATATATTAATAATGATATTTTTAACATTAGCATATTATTATTTTATTAAGATATTTCTTAATATTTTAGCATTAAATTCGGTATCGATGGGGCAAGGTCAAGAGTTTCATGCTCGAAGAATGATTAACGAAGCTATGAGCACGGGCGGCTGGGTTCTCTTACAAAATATTCATTTATCATTGCCATTCTGTACAGAAGTTATGGATGCTCTTGTTGAAACAGAAACTGTTCACGAAGCATTCAGACTCTGGATGACGACCGAAGTACATACTCAATTTCCCATCGGTTTACTACAGGTTGTATTTCTCAAGTTTTACGTGTCAACGTATTGAAAAGGAAAAAAAATAATTTTGCAAAATAAATTTAAAAAAAATTAATGTTTTAGATGGCAATAAAATTTACGAATGAACCACCACAAGGCATAAGAGCTAGTATGAAGAGAACTTATCAATCGGTGACACAAGACGCGTTGGATTATAGTACTCAATCGCAATGGCCACCCTTATTATATGCTGTTGCATTTTTACACACCGTAGTACAGGAGAGAAGAAAGTTTGGGCCACTCGGTTGGAATGTACCTTACGAATTTAATCAGGCAGATTTTGCAGCATCGGTTCAATTCATACAGAATCATTTAGACGATATGGATCCTAAAAAAGGCGTTTCCTGGCCGACAGTCTGCTACATGCTTGGAGAGGTTTCACGATCTTTATTTCTTTTTATTAAATAATCAAGCTTTCAGCAGCATTGTGTTTTACATATTTTTTAAATATTTATTTATAGGTGCAATACGGCGGTAGAGTTACGGACGATTTTGACAAACGTTTATTAACTACTTTTACACATGTCTGGTTTTGCGACGTATTGTTACGACCAGGCTTTGAATTTTATCGAGGATACAGAGTGCCCCAAACGAGAAATCTTCAAGGATATATCGACTATATCGACAGTTTACCCGCCACCGACACACCGGAAGTATTCGGATTACATTCGAATGCTGATATTACCTATCAAATTAATACGGCGAAAGGAATACTTGACACGATTCTTAGCGTACAACCAAAAGAGGGAGGCGCGCAAGGAGGTGAGACTAGAGAAAATGTTGTGTACAAATTAGCTGATGATATGCTGTCTAAATTACCGAAGCAATACAATGCCTTCGAAGTGAAAGAAGCGCTCCAAAGAATGGGACCATTGATGCCCATGAATATATTTCTAAGACAAGAAGTTGATCGGTAAGTATTTATATTTTCTTTCTTTTTTTATATATATTTAAATAATATTATTATTCAGTCACTAATTATTTTATTATTATAATAAATTATTTTAAATGTATTTAATACAAAGAAGACAAAAAAATTTGAATAAAATTGGAATAAAAAGAATTTTAATAGAGTAAGTTATTATATCTTCTCTTGGTTAATTAAGACAACTCTTTCAGAATTTCGAGAGTAATCAAAGAAGTGCGAAGTACTTTAACAGATTTAAAATTAGCCATTGAGGGTACTATTGTAATGAGCCAAGGCTTACGAACATCATTAGACTCGATGTATGACGCGCGCATTCCGGATAAATGGTTGAAAATTTCTTGGGAATCTGCAACTTTAGGTTTTTGGTATACAGAACTTTTAGAAAGAGATCATCAGTTCAGACAATGGTGCAATCACGGCCGTCCAAGAGTATTTTGGATGACTGGATTTTTTAATCCACAGGGATTTTTAACAGCAATGAGACAGGTAAGAATCAAAAACGTTAATAAAAAATATTATGTCGGCTTATATACATGTAATATCATAACTAATAAGAATATAAATATATATCTAATAGGAAATAATTATTGATATTTTTAAATTTAATTTACAAAAAATTAATGAGTGTAAAATTATATAGAAATAATGAATCAATAAGTTATAACAATTAAAAAAGTGTGATTATTACATTCGCAACATGTATTTTCTAGTATTTTTTATACAAGTATTTTTAATAATGCAAATTGTGCATGCATCCAAATTTTATTATAAATGCTTGTATAAAAATTCTAGAAAATACAAGTTACAAATGTAATAATCACAAATTATTTTATAATTATTATTATAACTTTATTGATTCATTATTTTTATGTAATTTTATACTCCACACATTTTTTTTTTGCAAATTAAATTTAAATATTAATAATTATTTTTATTAGATATATATTAATAATTATATTTATTAGATATATATATATATATATATATATATATATATATATAATTCTTATTAGATGTATATACATATAAGTCGATATATTATATTTCTTTATGAATGTATTTGCATGCTGTGAAATTCACTTGCTGGTTATAAAATTTATAATAAAACGATGAATAATAAAGCACATAAAAGATTTGTGACAGTTTATATATAGCTTATATTATTATAATTAGCTGCATCTTTTATAAAAGTTTTATTTAAAAATTTCAACTAAATATAAATTTTATAGGAAGTAACAAGAGCGCACAAGGGTTGGGCTTTAGATTCTGTAGTTTTACAGAACGTGATTACGCGTTATAATAAAGAGGATATTAAAAGTCAGCCACAAGAAGGAGTTTATGTTCACGGTTTGTTTTTGGAAGGCGCATCGCTCGATCGAAAAACCGGCAAACTCGTTGAGAGTAAACCAAAAGTTTTGTATGAACAAATGCCGGTTATTTACATTTTTGCAATAAACACTACCGCCGGTAAAGATCCGAAATTATATGAATGCCCTATATATAGAAAGCCTCAAAGAACAGATGCAAAATATGTCGGTTCTATCGATTTTGAAACGGATTATAATCCTCGACATTGGACACTTCGTGGTGTAGCTCTGTTATGTGATATTAAATAAAGAATCACAGATAATGTATAATACAATTTATATAATATAAATAATTTTAAAATAATTTAAATAATACAAATTTAAGAATTATATTTATAGTACTTTCTATAATACAAAATATTAAAATTTGCTTATATTTTGTATTATTTCTCTTTAGATCAAACAATAAAAAAAGATGTTATGAATTATTAATTAGATAATTTATATTGTGTGTAAATTGTTTATTTTTTATATGCAAAATACAAATCTCTCACATTACCATTTTTTCAATAATTTTTTCTAATGCAAAAATATAATGTTTAAAATCAAAGTGTTACAATAATATAATTGCATATTTTCATATATCTGTATCTAGAATAATATGTGTAAACAATATAACCAAAAACAAAATAAAACAACAAATTTAAGTTGGATACAGAGTAATAAAAGCCAAGCGCGAAAATTAGACGCAATAATTTTGTTATTTCTCTATTTAAATTAAACGTTTCGTTTTTTCATCTTCAGCAGATTAAGAAAAATTCAGGCCATATATATATAGCGTATCAAATAGTACATTTGAACCGATAACTAAACCAATTTACTAATTATTTACTGCTTGATTCGCCTATCAAGCGCTCGATGTAAACTAAACCTGTATTATCTTGAATTTATACCAGAACCTTTTCGTTTTACTAATTATTCGTTTTAATAATTCGTTTTAATAATTATTTAATAAAATAATATTATTTCTTTTTCTCTTAATGATTTAACTATCACATATATCACATATATCACTTATACATATTAATTAAAGCATTAATATCAAAAAACTAAATTTTCTAAACAATAAGATTTTATTTATAAAAACTATAGAACTGTGTAAAACTGTATTTATTAAAAAATGTCACTTTTTCATATGTTCGAAATATAAGAGAATATTTTTAGACAACTTAAGCTTGCACATAATAAAAATATTTTATGAGACACAAATAATAACTGTAAATTTGACAAAAATTAACTCAAATCTTTCTTCAAAAAAAAAAATAAGACTGAAAAACGTGTATCAAAATACTTTAATTAATATTATCAATATTATTTGTTAAAATGTTATATTTACATTTATGAATTCTATATTTTATGACAGAAGCAATATTAAAAATTCTACCATCTTGGTTAAAGCATTCCAGTCAGCTTCTTGCTCAGTTTTTCCTATACCAATCTGTGAAAGATGAGGACAAGTATTGAGCTCTATTATTTTCAAAAAATAGCTCTTATCTGCCGGTATTTCTTTTGTATTAACTGTTACATTAATATCTGATAATATAGTTTCTAATTTAGATAACTTCTTATTTATTATTATGGTAAATTTATCTGCATCTTCTTCGTCCAAAGATAGAATCTCGTTTAAATAAGAATGCAATTCTTCTAATGCTTTCTTACGTTTATCCATTTCTAAAGAATCTTTCCATTTAGTGTGATATTCAGATAATTTAATACCTAAATTCATCTTTTTTATTGATTTGTTAAGTGAATAGTAGCGTTCTTTAGCATTTCTATTCATTATTTCCGTTTTATTAGTTGCTAAAGTTGAGTCTAAAGATCCTTCTTCATCCTCAATGCTATTTAATTGATCCACAAGAGCTTTTATTCTTTTCACCATTTTTCCTGCAGCATCATGCTTTGCCATTTTTTTTGTTGGTGCAACTCCTTCTTCTACAAAACTAGATACTGTACATGTAATAGTGAAGACTCTAGCATGTGGTGGTCCAGAATCCTTGATAAGATTATAAATTGGTTCCTGTAAGTTATTTTCTGCACATAAATCCTGAAAAACATAATGATAAGTAACATTATAATGATAATTATATAAGATTAATTATGCAACCATGAAAAAGAGAATCAATTACCTGTAATTCACCTATAGCATTAACAAAAGGTGCATTTGCAGGTATTTTTGGTGGAAGAGGAGTTACATGAAATGGTGATCTTGAAGGAGATCCTGTAGGTGTGCTGGCCGCTGGCAATTGCGGATAGTTTCTTTGTTTGGCAATCTCTGTTAACATAGCTGTAGCAGCCTCATGTTTAGCTTCCTTTTTACAACGGCCTGTACCAATTGCAGTGAAACCATCGCACATAACTCGATATGTGAAAGTGTTCACATGACGGCCTCCACCATCGTGTATCAATTCGTAATCAGGTATCATATTCTGTTTCACCATCATCTCTTGGAGAATGGAAACTGGTGTTTTACTCATAGTCAATCGAAGTCAAAGAAACCTGCTATACTTCTAATAAGTTACAATTAATGAAGTATTACAGTTTATTTTCTGCTGCACAGATGAAAAATAAGTCTGAAATCACAACATTTACAATTAGCTATAATTAATGTCTTGTAATAGCAAAAACTTATACATAGAACTTGCCAATTAAAATACATAAACAAAACAAATAAATATTTGTGGCAAAAACAAATAATTTTATATCTCTCTTATTAAACATCTCTCTTGAACAATCATATTAATCATGCTAAATCTATTCTTTTTACTTACGCGTTTTATAACTTTATATTTTTTCTTTTTTGTTTCCCTAGTTTATAAATGTATTTTTATTTAATTTTTTTTAAATATAGAAAATGCAAAAAAATATAATAAACCAAACGTTAGCTTTTTAAAAAAATATGCAAACAAAATCCATGTAAACAAAAATTGTACACAGTTCAATTAAAAAGAACAAACCTATCGACACTATCTCTGTTTACTTAAAGAAATATATACATGTCAATGATATGATTACGTTGTATCATACATCTTATAAGATTTGAAAAAACAAATCATTATCATTATTCAACAACCTATAGATTAAATCTTAAATTCAGTATTTCACGTGATTAAAATAAAATAAACTGCAAGAGTAATTTAATTTTATAAGAGTTTTAACAAGGCTCTGTAATATAAATATAAATTTAACGTATAAGACGGGCAACAAGAGCCAAATCGCGGATGACAATGCGTTATCCTAACGAAACTAAATAATTTTTCGTTAGAAATAAATAATTTATTCATGTTCTTTGCATTAATGGAATGTAATCTAAAACACTCTCTAATTAAGTTCATAAAATCTAAGACGACAAAAATATGGAATAATAATTAAATTCAGAAATTCGAAAGGAAAAGATATAAAAAAGGTAAAAAAAAAAAAAAAATAAAATGGAGTTATAAAATTATTTTTTAACAGAGAGGTTATGAAAGGCAACTTTAAGTATACTCGGATTTTTGTAACAAAAAATAGACTAGAATCGAAGAAAATTTCTCCACGTGATTTTACATCGCACATTTAACGTTGCACGTCATCTGAGTTAGAAAAATAAATAGTCGATTTATCATCAAACTTACCTCCGACTCACACCTTATCGAAGAATTCTACAACGTGAGATAACCTCACATGACACTACATTTGACGTGAAATAACCTCACATATATTATTAGATTTTGTTGCGCAGCAAATTATATCTCTTTTGTGAGAATACCTTGTGAAAATAAGATCATCGATCACTAGGTGAGGGTAAGAAAGAGAAAAAACAGAGCCGTATATATTTATAAATACTCCGGATATTAATTAAGGAGCTCCCTCATAAGGAATGAGGGATGCTCCATAATAAGAGAGCCGGGTTATCAGAGAAAATAATATGATATTTAAATATATAAACATGCACATATGTCAAAAATGTAATATATCTTTTAATATTATTTATTACATTTATTGTTTTATACCTACCTAAAATGTGAAGATTCATACACACATCAAGTTCAAATTCACGTGAGGAAAACTGATAATAATTAACGTTATAAATTTTATTAAAAATTCGTGCAAAATTCGCAATTTTCACATGAGAAATAAAAAATAAAAAGAGGATGATTGTACCCAGCAAACACCGATATATAATTGTTACATTGCTACAATAAAACGGAATATAACAGGTAATATAACGTGTACGTTACATGTAACATCCATGTTAGTTGTAATTTCCCACTCATAGATGTAACATTTTAATATAACATATATTACGTTGTAGTTATATTGTAATTATATACCAAATAGCACATTGACGTATTGATAAGTTACTGCTATCTTGGGATATAATGACAATATAACTACAATGTAATATATGTAATATTAAAAATGTTACATCTATGAGTGGGAAATTACAACTAACATATACGTTACATGTAACATGCTTGAGTATATAACATTTATATATTGTGTTTGCTGGGTAGCATTATTAATAATGCTAAAGAAATAAATTATATTAATTATGGATTTCGAAGTGAGTAAAATTCGTGTACATACATAATAATATTATTTTGTATTCTTGAAATACAAATAGCGCAAGAAGTATCAGGTAAATTTTGAAATATCGAATATATATCGTAATATTATAGCATTATATTTTTTTCAGGTATATTGCAATCATAGAACATCGTTGACAGTAAAAAAATGGGAAGCATAATAGCTATCCGGCTTTGTGGTAATACTAAATTAAAAATTTTGCAATGGTCTCAATATTAAGACCAATAAAAACTATATAAATTACTCTTTATTAAATAAAGAGATGTATCATCTCAAGAGCCAGCAAAGATTTCTACGCATCATTCAACATTGTGATATTCTAAATTTTTCATTTGACAATTCTGTCAAAGTGAATAATTCAAGAGGTTTCTCTACGACTTGTGTATTGGCAAAAGGCAAAGATCGTGGCAAAGATAAAAAGAAGCAGAAGGTACAGCATATTGATTATAATGAGATGGAACAAGTTATCGATGTCAGTAAGCTGACATCTCAATTTGACAAGGCAATTGAACTCTTGAAAAATAATTTTGTCAAATATTTATCAGTAAGATCAACAGTGGGTGCTATTGAGGAATTAACTGTCAAGTTTGAGGGAAAAGATTATACATTGCAGGAGCTTGCACAGATTAGTCGTAAACCCAAACTATTAGTATTAAATGTATCTACTTTTTCGCAAGCTATCCCAGATATTTTGATAAGTCTCACAAAAAATCAGATGAAGTTAAATCCACAACAAGATGGAACTACAATTTATATTCCTATTCCCAAGTAAGTTTTTAAACTTAAAAAATATTTTATATATATTTACGTATATATGTAGTTGAATATATAATTATGACTCTTATTGAAACAAGAATATTTTAATATTTATATATGTTCTTTACAGCACAAGAACATTTATGTATGTATTATATATGTTTTTACAGAGTAACAAAAGAGCACAGAGAAACCTTATCTAAAAATGCAAAGAGCTTTTATACAAAATGTTGCGATAATATTAGAGATATACGCAATAGACATATTAAAGTGGTAAAACAGAAAGAAGGATTAGCCAAAGACTTAATATTTAGGATAGAAAACTCAATAGATAGTCTCAGTAATCAATATATAAGTAAAGCTGAAGAATTGTTGACCGCCAAACAGAAAGAATTGTTAGGTGATTCTGAATAAACGGACCTACCTTCATATTTTTATATATGAATTATTAATTAAAAAGTATATTGTTAATATTGCTACATGTGCAAAACGTGTAATAACATCTAACAATTTTGTAATAAAAGAAGAAAGGTATACATACTATTACGTACATATTATGTTCCTATTTCTATATATTTTTTATTGGTTTTTTTAATATATTTTGTATCTTTTAGAATATTATGAAATATGATGGTTTGATGAAATTGTAAAATGACATAATTAAAAAAAATTTGTTTCTCACAATTATAAATTTAACTTGTTTTCAAAATTATAATTATTATTTTATGAATCTCATCATATGATAAGTAATAATTTTAAAAAGAACGAGTAACATTATGAAGTTCTATTTGAATTTTAGAAATGATTATATTTATTCAAATTGTTGCAATGTATATTTTGATTATGCGAATTAATTGAAAAAGGATGCTTACTGATAATCTTCTGTCAGGTATTGTTGCTTTTAAGTAGCAAAAAAGTTGCAGTAGGAGCAACAGATTTTAATTTAGAGATTCATATTTCACGAACAAAATTACACAATATTGTAAATAAGAATCAGTAAAATCAGAGAGCATTTTCCTAAAATTTCTACCTAAAATTTTATAGATTCACCGATACGATGCGCAGAAGCAGAATTGTAATCTGTAAAATATAAATAATATACATGGAAATATTATAAAGTGAAATTTAAAATAATTTAAAAATAAAATTTTTACAATATGTATAAATTGCTAAAACTTTACAATGTATTGTGTATTTTTGTGCGTGAAACACGAATCTGTAAATTAAAATCCTTCCTCTCTATACTGTAATTTTTTTCTTACCTGATAGCGACAATTTTAATTAACACATTCGTTTTTTAAGCACAAAAATACATAATATTGTAATGTTGCGGCAAAATTGGAAAGAAAAAACTCTTCTTCAGCATTATTATAACACATGTATAACAATTTATATTGTTGTACTTATAACATGTATAATATGTATATAAAATTTACATCCATATAAAATTCTGCATTATATTTATATAATAAAAAAAGAATACGCATTTTTTTACACATCTTTTTTACAATTGTATTGTGAAATATTTTCTTTTCGTGTAAATATTTCTTAAAATAATTTTTTATTATATAAAATACATTTATACACATACGTATTTCGTGCAATTTATATATCTTAAACATATATCTTTTTAGATAATACTAAAATGTATTTTTTGTCATTCGATTAAAATCGATATACTCTCTTATTGTTTTAAATTATTCTTATTTGCAATATTATTTTTGTCATCTTCACCTTGACGCCTGATATACGTTAAAAGTGCCATACATAAAGTTTGTGTTGCAGTTTCTAAAATTTCTTTTGTGTGAAAGCCTATGCTTATACGTAAGAAATTCGTTGCTTCACCCGTATATGAGAATCGAGTACCTGGTATCGCTGATACTTTGTATTCCTTTTGACACCATTTGATGAACTGAGTACCATCCGTACCTTTAAAAAACATAATTTTATGACAAATAAAATAAATTAATATATGAATATACATAAATATTAATATAATACTACAATTGTGTGTGTGTGTGTGTGTGTGTGTGTGTGTGTGTGTGTGTGTGTGTGTGTGAGAAATGCACAACTTCAAAATTGTAACATATAATTATTTTAAAATTTGATTCAGTATTATTTTTTTGTACTTAGTCATATAATTTCAAAGTAGAAAAATTCGTTATACCCTTAGGAAGATGGACCCAAACGAAGTAACCACCTTTTGGTCGTTGATATGAACAACAACTGGGCAAAAATCGATCCAAAGTTGCACAAAGCGCATCTAGTCGTTCCTATAAATTGAATTTAAGTTAATTTTATTGAGTGTAAACTTTTTTATATTCTTTTTATTTATAACTTTTATATAAAAATAATTATAATAAATATGAGAACAATTTTATATTTAAATAATTCTTAACTTTTATATAAGCATTTTACTTATAATATTATTTTTCAATTATCAATTTTTTTACGCGATGATAAAGTTTTTGAAGTGTAAAAATTTATAATATAACGCACCCTATAGATCTTTATGATTTTATCAAGATACTTTTCCTGAATGTTCTCTTGAAGCATACTTGCTATTAATCCGGAAATGTAATGATTAACTGCTCCACCGCTGCACAATGTACCTCTATAAAAAAATATTAAAAATTGCACAGTTAAAAATAATTTCAAGATTTTAGCCCATTATAATTTATATTACATTAGCTAATTATTTAAATGTATAACATATTAGCTTGATTAGGAATAGCTCTTGCATTATATTTTGTCTTCAAATAGAAATTATATTTTCTAAAAGAAAGAATAAAATATGTGCATATCTTACGATGTTTTTACAATGTTAACAACACGTGGACTGCATTCGATCCATCCGAAACGGATTGCAGGCGAAAGGATTTTAGAAAACGAACAGTTTGACACAATATTCCCTCCTTTGTAGTTTGCATCTTTTGGATCGTCATAAGAAAATAAGCGATATGGCGGAAGTCCTTCTCCATAATAAAGCAAATTATACACATCATCGCAGGCTACCACTATGGAATTATTTCGTGCGATTTCCACTAAACGCTTGCACTGATCTGTTGAAAAATAAAATTGATTTGCATTATTTATATGCATAAAAAAATTGCACTAGGTTTTCCTATATACATTTATTTTATTAATTTTTGCATTTTGCATGTCAAGTGGACAAAGCTTTATGTGTATTGATTAAAATGGGAAATTGAAACAGTAATTAATGATTAACGTGACAAATTATTTAATCGCGATTATGTAAAGGGAAGATTTTGTTACATGTAAGATGTTGATTCAAATTATTAATTACCAGGCGTCAATGTCATTCCAGTTGGATTGTGAAAAATTGGTATCGTATAAAACATCGCCCAGAATATTTTCTGATCATTCAAAAAATAGTTGCCTTTCTTCTTCTCCTCAGCTACTATCTTTTCAAATGCATTTAGATCTACTACGTCATTTTTCATTGGCACTGTGTATATAAAATATAAACACTCATATAAATATGAATATATTTTAGATAGATATTTTTTTACTAATACAATATCTTTAAAAAATTCAATTAGTTATAATTATGTATGTATATCGATTTCTTGTATTATTAATATTTGAGTTTATATTTGGCATAATCTATAATAGGTATTTAAATTTTTTAATTGTAATAATTTATTTATATTAAATTAAAATATTTAAATTCTATTGCTTGTTTTACGAAAAATAATTTATATATTATACACATATATGTCTACCTGTAACTATTCTTATTAAGGGAAATTGCTTAAAAGCATCGAGAGCAATCATGTATGTAACTTCCTCCACAAAGATAACACCGTTCGGTGATAGTATAGTGTTCAACAACATTTGAAGACCATGTGACGCTCCACATGTCAATATCAGCTGTTCTCTCATGACAGAATTACCATATCGTCTGCTTAAGAATTTAGCTAACTCATCGCGACATTCCCAAAGACCTGCTGTTATACCATATTGAAAAAGATAGTATTTTCCTTCCTTTTCTTCTTCTTCCTAAGTATATAATTGATTTCATTAACATGGATCAGTGCAAAGTAATGCAAATATAAAACATTATATAATTAAAATATAAGCCAAACATTTTAAAAATAGAATTACCAATTAATTGAAGTATATGATTATTACACATTTTAATTAAAAATTGAAAAGAAATTTAAGAGTCATGTTATATATTATAATACACATGTTATATATTATATATTATAATATTCACATAAAGTTTACTTTTATTAAAGCATTAATGAATTATTTAGTCAAAGTTTTTATATTTACATTTTCAGCTGACAATGAGTTAATGAACATGAACTAATTTGCTATCGAATTTTAATATATACTTTGATTAAGATAAATAAATTTTCTTGATTTTAATTGACTTATTTTTTGAAAATTTATTATGTCTCTTAATACTATAATTATAAAGATACAAAAAGTACACTGTTAAAATAATTGATTTTACCAATCTATGTCGTGTAGATTTGTTCAACATTTCTACACAGTGTTTTAAAAGGTCAGGGCCAGGTGCCCCTACGGACAAGTTCGTAGCTTCCTGGTGATAGACATTGAATACCGGGTCACCATCGAACAGGTGTCTCAAATATGGATCATCAACAGTATTCATATCAGTTGGTCGATATATGAATAAATTTTGTACGCCTAATTTTTGAAAACAATTTACATTGCATAAATATATATGTATATATATAAGTATGTGTATTATTGTGTATGTGTATATATGTATTTAATCAGATTATTTTATTTTATAAATTAAACTATATCCCTATAAGCGCATGATATTATTAAATATTCTAAAAATACGCCTAGAATATTGCTTAAATATTAAATAATATCATGCGCTTATAGAGATGGTATATGAATAAAATATATCATTTTATGAGATTAATTTCTGGTTACAAAAAATTTTAATTATTATTATCTAAAGCATATTTGTTATAATGTATAACATAATAGATATATTTAAGATTTGCATATATTAAATTATGTTAAATGACGATACGTTAAAGTCCGTTAAACGTATTTAACATATTCTAGTAACACTATATATTGCGATTCTTACCACAAATAAATAAATTCTTCCTCTGAAAAGTCTTTTCTAACAATAAAACATGCTGTAAATTTTCTATTCTGTCTCATGCAGTCTACGATTAAATTTATTATGTATACAGGTAATTTAAATAAGCTATATTTTATAAATTATAAAATTTATCTTTTAATTTTGATGCAGACGTAAAAAGTACATCAAAATAATTCATAATATTTCTTCTATTTACTGATAATATAAAGTAGCATTCTTTATAGGACATAATCATTTAGATCGATACAAAGAAGATTAGTATTGATATAGATATATTTAAATATTTTATGTAGCATATGACTATAATTACCAAATATGCCTTGACGTGAGGAATTGTAATATATACTCTTTAAAAAATTACTGATGAGTGTTCACTTTTGTGTACTGTACGATTGTTAAATTCTCTTACGTAAAGTGTTGACTTTGATATGAATTCGTGTTCTTAATTGAATAAAATGATGCGCATGTTTTATCAACCACATTTGAAGAAACGCTGAGGTTTATAAACGTAAAAATTCGCACTAAAAATATCTCAGAAACAAGTCTGCATCGTACAGTTATCCACGAGTGACTAACTGAGCACGCAAAATATGTGTGAATCGGAGTTACAGAAGTATATATCTCTCTTTCTTTCATATTATGTAGACCAAGATATAGTCTCGTGTCATTCCGTACAGTTTCGTGCAGTCCCGTATATTCGTATTAATTATTAAAGAAGCATTGTGTGAATGTAACTATATACGCTTCTTCATACGTATGTCGTATGAGATATGAGACGAATATTATGATATGAAGCATACTTACTTCACATATACGTCTGGATAAGCTTTTTTCACGACAAAGATATCATATTATAGATAAAAATAGATCTTTTTACATGTTTATCAATATTATATAGTTATCACTAATTTATTACGATGTCTGGAAATGTTTGTCTCTTTTTATCTCTCAATAACTGAAAATTTTCTAAACAAATGCAATTTTTTTTTACTTAAATAATTACATTGTTATTTATTTATGAAAAAAAATTAAAAGCAATTATAAGTATTTATCAAAAAAGCTAATGCTCATCTTCTTATTAATTTTGTTCATCATTATTTTATATGTATATGTGGGTCGTATTTTTTGTAAAAATAGGCGGAATGTAAATGAGATTCTTAGAATATAATAAGGAAAATATTTAATAAATACAATCTTCTTCCTTCATACATAAATTTTCTTTATGCAAATATGCATAAAAAATAAGCATTGAGCGTAACAGAACATGCATCTAAAAAAAATATTATGTAAGTTTGACGCAATTATTGAGGTTCAAGAAAGACAAGTGATAAGAATGATTGTTCTTTATTACAATAAATTTTTACGATATATAATGATACAATAAAGATCTATAGGTTCTATGTCCACAACCGAATGGCAAATGTAACTCCTCGCAATTACGTAACGTTAGATTACAATGTACAACCTACTAATTAGAATGCTCAGTCACAGTTTAAATTTACATTTACAAGACCAAATGTGCGAGGGCGAGAAAGAAAATGGAAAGACGTTTCTTGGTTCGCTTTACAGAAATCGCGTATCTTTCCATATAGGGGGGACGAATAACGCGTCGCAGTGAATGATATATTACAAAAAGAATTTGTTATAATAATAATATAATTAGTAACACTTAACACAATGTACACGATACGTATTGGATTACATCGTTATACAGATAAGATGCGATAACTGCACGATATGTGGCGAGATTGGAAATCTGAATTTCTCGTATATATATGATAATAATCGAGATATTTTTTCGTAATTACTTTTGTTTTTATTTTTATTATCGCAGAACATGATCATGATAATGCTATCAAGGAAGATGCGCGAATAATAAAAAAATAGCCAATGTCATTCCGTATCTTAAACAAAATTAAAACAGAAAATTACGTCTATACATATAAATGTGCGTTCTTAAAAAGATAATTGGTACCATAAATCGTTCGTAAAAAGATAATTGGTACCATAAAATAATATCAATATTATTCAATGATGAATTTAAAGTTGGAGGAACAAATGTCTCAGAATGACTTTGGTTGTTTTATAATGAAAAGAATATGAAAATTCGAAAATTGTTAATGTTAGTTATTAATGCTGTTAATATATAAGGTGACTGATTAAAGAATAATAAAAAAATAAAGACTATATGACAAATGGATGATCCGATATCGTCGTCGCGCTTCTTCCTCGAATCGTAATGTGAGAATAATTGTATACATCGATTGTAAAATATTGATAAAATTATATTTTCATAGAAGAGATCGTTAATCTCGCGCACGCCCATGCTCATCTACAGCAAATGCAAGGCTCGTGTAGGACAGAGTTCCTGCGAAATGATTTATTAAATACAGGGAAGATTCGTTTTGTGCACATCATAAAATTTGCTCTCGTACTTTCCTCTTTTTTTCCTGTACAACATGGCACGTCCTATCGTACTATTATATTCGGTACGGCTACATACCGTATTCTGGCGACGTATGATTATTACTGATTGTGTACAAATACACTCTTCTTCTTTTCACGCTCGTGAAAATTTTTTTCTGTTCGCTACGCTACTCGCTAAACTATATACAAATCGCGTTTCACATAAAAATCGAAATAACTCGTAATTCCCGATCCGATCAACTTTATTGGTTCATTATGGATCCCTTTATTGGATCCATTACGAAGACGATGGCATAAGAGGAAGGAAAAAGAAAGGTTTATTTGAATCTTCTTGCTTCCCTCAATACTTAAGTAGAATCAATGTTTGTCCTCGTCGTGATAAATTTGAATCTCGATACGAGAGCGAATTTATCCTCAGCAGTAAAATAGGACGATGCAGATTTTGCTGTCATAGCTTAATGCTGAAGGTATAGGAAGGTGCTATCATTGCCGTATTTGAGTGTCATCAGGCGAAAGATAAAATAATTCGTATCACAGTCAGCGGTATGTCGCACAAATGCTTCGGCCCGGTTGCATTAATGGCTAAGTTTGAGAGATGAACAATTAAATTTTTCCTTGGTTTTATTTTAAAACTTTTCATTACGTCACAAGATAATGAAGTGGATTGAAACAAAGAATCGCGTTAAATAGATTTGATTAATTAAAGACATTATTGCAAGCTGGCAAGACCGCTTAACCTTCGACATTCTAAGCAAAAGACTTTGTAAATTCTATGTTAAAATATTTTTCAAAAGCATTGATCGGCCCTTCCATCGAGAATTCATCGAATATCGATAAAATGTTCTAATATTTAATTATTGCCATATTCTATATGAATTATTTTGTCACATTATTTTATCATATAATTATTTTGTCATATAAATTCAGAATTAATTTACGTTCTTTCTCAATCGTATCGTATAAATATTTTTAGTTGAGAGTATATATTAATTTTACGAAAAGAAATGTAGGATTTGTTATTTAACGAAATAAGATGTTATTAGCAAACTTTTCTGCATTCATGAAAAGAATAAAAAAGTGGTAACATCTTAAAAAAACATTGAGCGATTTTTTAGGAGACTTCGCTCAATATAAAAAAATGCTTAAAATAGTTTTTGCACCATTAAAAATTTAACAACGACCATGAATCTTTTTCACGCGCAGTCGCTGCAAACAGCCTTAATTATTCGATGTTTCATACTTGTCGCGCTAAATTTTTTAATTATAAAATTTAATCGCGAAAATGTACTGTTCACTATTTCCGATCAAACGTTCTTTCGTTGAAAAATAGATATCGTCATTGTGAATATTAATTTTCACGGTGCATAGATATCTTTGTAAGAGAATAGTGACAAAACAAGACCGGTTTAAGACTGTGAAAATCGTAAAAGCCATTCATATGGCATTTTCTACATTTTGAAATTATCAAACACGTATATAAATGATAAGATAAATTTTTTTGCAATAATAAGTTCCGCAAAATGCCTTAAACCAGTCCGAAAGGAAGCTTTTAAGCAGCGACGATCTTGGACGCTGTCGCTGCAAATTAAGTTCTAGTATATTTCTTACATCCTCGAGATACTAATAACGAAAAGTGTAATTTATTTACAAGCCACAGCAAATGGCACGTTAAGAATATCTTTGCACTACTTGTTCGCGAGCATCGCCATTGTGCGATTCTCGTTTCCGGCACGTCCTCGTATATATAGTTTCTTCCTTCTTCGTCTTATATATATATATATATATATATATATATTTATATATCTCATAATATATACGTACAAGAGTCTCTAGCTTACGTCTAATCACAATCAAGCGCGGCACTTGAGCGAAGTGTCCTTTCTAAGTACAATAGATCCTTTTTGGAAATTGAGTAACTTCAATGATACGTTTATATATTCGTTTTCGTTACTTCTTTACGAAGTCGCGTTTGATTTACTTTCTTCTCGAAGAACGAAGCAAAGGTTTTTTCGATATAATAACTTTTTTCTAGTTTCACAGAATCATAAGCTTCTTTTTATGTTCTCAATATATCTCGTCACTCTGGAATCACACCGTGGTCTCGTTTTTCCTGAACGGTTTCAACGGTTGTAATTCTCGTTCCAGTCGGTCAAAATCATTGTAGTACTCGTGATCTGACTCCTCTTCAGAACTCCTTTGTCTGACTTGAGATCCAAAAGTGCCGTTCGTCAGGACCTTCTCTAGATCTAGGGATGTAGGGATACCCAAAGTCTGCGGCGTGAGCGGGCCTTCGTCCTGCGACATTAGATACTCCGGATTGTCCAACGATGTCTTTCCTTGAATCGTCAGGAAATCTGGATACTTCCGGAAACCGTTGTTCAAATGCTTCGATTCGGATTCTAGAAACAAAATAAACATGATTTTTATATTTTGTAAAGAATTCAAAATAATTTTCATGAATATATTTCAAGATATATAGTTGACGTTGAACTTGTGCAAAAATAATAGCAAATTTCGCTCTCGCTCACCTGTTGGTTTAGACTCTCCGATGAGATCCATATATTGCGTTTTGTTGGCTGGCAGTTGTGGTGACGGCATAAGATAGTCATCTTCATCTAACGGTAAATCCAGTTTCAGATTTCCCACTTGAGCTTGTTGATGCGCAGAGTTTACTTTACTTTCGAAACAGTCGTCTGTCACATCGCAATCTGAAAATTAATCCATTATTTCTGATCATTAAATAAATTCAGTATAATTAGTGTATGATCTCAACCAGTGTTGTAATCTTTTATATATAGAAAAATTATATATCCCATTTAGTTTCTTCAAGAATTTATCTGCTCTCTTTTGCTTACCTCTGGCACCAACCATCTTCAAGGGATCTGAGCAATATCTCGAACTCGAGCTGTCAGATCCTACGACGTGTCCGCAATGACCATTGGGATGTGTGTAAGGCTGACTGGAATTGCCAGCCTCGTGTGACGCATTCCCATTCCCATGATTCCCACCGTACCTCAAGAGCTCCCTATCCCAATTTTGTTGATTTTGCGGCGTTGGAGAGTCAGCGGCGAGCGGCTTGCCGTTTGGCCAACATGCTTTGACCGATGTATTTGGTGGTGCACTGGAAGTACTTGATGCGGAGATCACAGGCGGAAGCGGAGCCCGCGACTTAGGTTGCAGATATTCTTCAGCATCCACCAAAGCTTCTGGACCATCCATTGCCGATGCGAGATTTCGTATCATTTCTTTTTCGTCCTGAAAATTTCCATTGGTAACGCTTAAGATAACGTCCTGAAAATTTCCATTAGTAATGCTTAAGATAACGTCCTTAAAATTTCCATTAACAACGTTTAATATAATGCAACATTATGTTATATTTATGTATATTTTGTACAGTTTTTCTTTTAATTTTTTTTACATATTTAATTATTGTAGAAAAATTATATTAATTAATAAAGCATGTAATTAATATTCTAGGACAATAATTATATGAATAATCTTATCAATAATTTTTTCATTAACTAATATCGACATAATCGCTCTGCAAAATAATTATTTTTTATTCCAGTCTCATAAAAAAAATCAATTATAAATTACCTGTAATGTATATGAAGGCAGTCTCATGTATTTATCGCCTTTAATGGCAAGATATCGACCAGGATCTCTGGACATTTTTGCGAAGTCTTCCGCTAGTTCCTTAAAGCTGGGTCTAGATTCAGCATCAAGCATCCAGCATTTGATCATGATCATGTATACGTCAATCGTGCAAATCGCGGGTTGCGGTAGTCTTTCGCCCTTTTCCAATAGTTCGGGTACATTTCTGGCAGGGACATTTTCATACGGTCTACCGCCGTAAGTAAGAACCTCCCAGATAGTCACTCCAAAAGCCCACACGTCCGATTTATGAGTAAATACTCGATGCTGAATGCATTCCAATGCCAACCACTTGATCGGCATTTTTCCGCCCGCAGCCTTATATTGCTCTTCGTTAATGTCCAACAGTTTAGCGAGACCAAAATCGGTGATCTTTACGCAATTTGGAGTTTGCACGAGGACATTTCGCGCCGCTAAATCTCGGTGAACCAATCTCCTCTCCTCCAGATAAGCCATACCTCTCGCGATTTGCGTGCACCAATTTAGCAGTGGTTTCGAGCCGATTTTGTCTTTGTACCTGCGTACGAAGTCCAGCAAACATCCCAGGGGCATTAGCTGGGTCACTAGCATCATTTGTGCCGTCATGCATACTGCAAGTAACTGCAGCAGATTTGGATGCTCCACGGTGGCCATGATATAAGCCTCGTCGAGAAATTCTTTGGATGTATTCGCACCCGTGCCATCGTGGAGGACTTTTATGGCGACCGGGATCTTCACGTTCTCCCCTTCGGGCACCCAGACGCCTTTGTACACATTGCCGAAAGCACCGTAACCTAGTATACCGCCTTTCCTCATTTCTTCCTCCTTAATTATCCGTAATTTTGCCAGATTTGGTTTTACGCCTGTCGGTCGAAGCGGTTCGTTGTCGTCTAAACCAGTCAAAGCTAACGTCATCTTTACCGTATTCTCTTTGGCCTTTGTTCTCATCCGCCAGAAATATATTATCACAATAAGGCTGATGATTAACACCAACGTGAAGAGCACAATCCCGGTCAAAATAGCTGGTTGAAGTTCATTGTCCATTTGGAAACCGAGGCCTACTGTTTCAACAGAACAATACGGCTCGCTATCTTGAGGGAAAATCTTGTGAGGATATTCCGATGTGCAAAACTCCGTGCAATTGAAGAACGTTGAATTATCGTAAGGATCACCATCCTAAATAGTCAATTATACAAATTAATTAGCATTATTTATTCATTTCTTAATAACATTTTTTAATTAGCATAAGTCTTCTATTAATTAATTAATTTCTTAGTTGTTTATTATTTTATTTTATATATAAAGTAAAATATATATATTTTATTATATATATATATATATAATATAATAAATAAAATATATAAAATATAATATATATATAGAATATTGTATGTTTCTAATCAAGATTTTTAATATTGTTGTACGTACAATGTAAATTTTGAAGTTTCGACATTTGTAACACTGATTAGAGCCTGGTCCAAAACACCCTCGACATTCCCCGAAGCACGGTAGACATAGCTGCGTGTCAGCATCCGCGAAATGATCGGCAGGACATTCATCCTCGCATTGTTCTCCTTTCTTGTACTTGTTGCACTGTTGACATACCTGCTCGTGAAAGCCATATCCTGTGCATTTCTTACAACGTGGATGGCACTTGCGACAGACTGCCTTTCCGGCAAGAGGTTTTAAAGCACCTTGCTCCTGCGGGCTCACCCACTCGTAATAATGTCCTGCGAATTTGATAAGAAAACACGCTTCGTTTATACACGAGATTACATACATAGGAATTTTCGTTATATTTATACAGATATAAAGAATTATATATACATGTTTTTATTGTCATAAAAATTAGATATTAATTTATATTAATTATTATTATCATTTTGCTATCAATTTAATTATTTATTGCAGATACATTTTTATTTATGTATATTTGTAAAATTAATGATAATAATAACGTGAGATATTTTTTTCACAATATCACAATTAGTGACTAATAATTAGAAGATTGATATGTTAATAATAGAAAAATGTCACGAGGAGTAAAGAGCATTGTATAACTTAATTACCATCAGGACACGGCTCTCTCTTCTGCATACATCCCTCTAGTATGTTTTTCCCGTTCATAATTGCCTTTTCGCAACTATGACATCCGTTGGCGCCTATGTTGTTCTCCGGTCCCTCGCAGCCGCCTACACAGTTCTCGTGGCAGTGTTTACATTGACCGTTGTCGTTGTACTTTGAGGATGGGCACTCGGGCACACAGAACGGCCCATCTCGCACGTGTTTGCACTTGATACATTGGTCGGCATTAGGACCGGTGCAGGAGCTGTCGCACTCTTCGTGACACATCTTACAGGTCTTTTCGTCTGCTTGATAAATTCTGACAACACGTAATCAATCGTTAAACGATGTCGAGAAATGTCACTGAAGAAAATAATATGTAAAAGCAAAGACGAATGTAAGAACAGGAAGATAAGGCATAGAAAAATTAACGAAGGCAAAAAATAATGAGAGATGACCCAGATAAAAAAATTATTTGAATATAATTAACGTTCAAATTGTTGTATTTGCCATGTACACTTTATTTAAGATTTACTACATGTGCAATTTAAAGCAGTTATAATGTGCTGCGTGATAATATATATATATAACTTGCTCACAAAATATGAATAAAAATTAAAAAAAAAAGCAAGAGTTGAGAATTCTCAAATTCTTGCTAAAAAATTTCGATTTACCTTCTATCCATGAACTAGGAAAGCAATTTTGATTGGAGAGAAATCATGCGTTATTGGAAATTTAAACTTCTGTATATCATATAATAAATATTACATAATATTTTTCGATGTTTATGTCGACTTACCCTGGCACAGTGCAATCTTGAAGACAATCATTTCCTAGAATAAAGTTCTTGCACGACAGACATTGTGCTGGTCCAGGTCCCCAGCATCCTTCGTCCGAACATTGCTCGTCACATACGAGACCATCTTTGACTGCAATACAAAATTCATATAATGATTCTATTATAACTTCAAGTTTAGTAGAATAAAAAGCAATAATACATTAAGTTTATTATAATAAATATTATACTTAAAATTAAATTTTTAAATATTCAGCATAATATCCGAGGCATTATTTCTTTTTAAATTAAAAAGCTAAATTTTTTCTTACATTTTTATGTCTAAATCATTTTAATATATTTACCACATTCGCTCTCGTTCCGGTTGTTCGATAGAAGACTTTCGTGTTCGGATGATTTTTTGATCCTGCTCCAGTTAATACTCTGAGCGTAACATAAATTCTTGTTCTCCAAAATGGCAATCGAACCGGAATAAATCTTCTTCAAGGAACTAAGTCCAAAGGACACCAGAGAAGTCTTGACGATGTACAAGGACGCAAAGTATTCCGTGAGCGTTCTGCCTCCGATCACCTCGAGATTGCGAAAGTACGAAAGGTTCTTGAAATCCTGATGATCTCCTTGGATATTAAGATAGCCCGTGATCTCTTTTAAAGTTCTGAAGACTTCCAACTTGTCAGGATGCATCTTCTCGTATCGTTTGCCGAACGTGTAATTTGGATAAACGTGCTGGAAGCCTTCGAAGCTCTGATCCAGAATTGTGATGGATCCTTCGATGATGGTGCAATCCTTGAAGGTATCGATGTTACCGGAATGCACCTTCTCGACGCCCTTGCAGGTTTTCGGACAAGGTCCGTCGCAGGGAACGCATTCGCCGTTCATCGCTTTCTTTTTCGGTGGACAGGATCTCACACAAGCGCCATTATCCTTTAAAAGATGCTCCGGACATCGTCTCACGCAGGTTGCACCATACGCGTACTTTCCGTCAGGATTAGCTTCCCACGAATATGTTGTTGGATTATATCTGAAAGGATCATTTTCTTATTAATTTGACCATACAAGTAATTTGCATGAATAAATAATTGCTACATATTAATTTATTTATATTATTTAAAAGATTATTATTTTAATTTTCTATTGTATGTAAAGTATCTTTTGTAACATTTTGTATTAGCTTGTAACTTGAAAAAAAAACAGATACAGAGATGCGTGACGTTACTACTTACTTTTGCATGGGCGGACATTCCTGCGTGCACACGCCATCGTCGAAGAAATTCTTGCAGGCAAGACAGTCGCTCTGTTTGGGTCCGGTACAGCCACCGGCGCAAAAAAGATGGCAACATTCGCGCGGATTAGGACCGAAACATCTGCCCTGCCAGCATTGGGGCGAACAGTTCGTCTTCGAGTACCTTTGACAGTTCTCCGGGCCCTCGCCCCAACAACCCTGTTCGCAGCTTCCGTCACATTCCGGACAGTGGCGTTCCGGCGACGTAAAATTGTAGACGTAAAAGTACCGTCCTCCTTGCCCCGTGATTATTTCCTCCCAATTGATCGTCTTGATGTGGCAGAGATTGTAGTTGTTGTACATGCCCACGCTCCCGTTGAGTATATCTATGGCGAAATCAATTCGCGACGAATTAGACACGAACAAAACACACAGCTAATTCTTCTTTAAATATTCACTCCTTCAATCTTTCTGTATATAGTCAAAGATGATTTGTCAATTTTTATGAATGTTCACACTTTTTGGAAATATGTTTATCAAAACTTGAAGTAAATTATAAATATAAAAAAAAATCTTCAATTAATCTGAAAACATACCTCTAAGGGCTGGCATTTCCAGGTTGTGCATCTGACACATCGTGACGAAGAGAGCGAACTCGTGGTCGTGAATATTGAGCTTGAAGAGGGTCCTACCGCGGATGATCTGCAGCCTCGGGAGCACGATCCTGCGCACATCCACGTGACTGATGAGGACGTAACCGGTGACCTCCCGTATGTACTGGAGGAAGCTGAGGTCGAAGGTTTTGTTCTGGAGCCATGTGATCTCCAGATTGCCATCGACGTAAGTACAGTTGGTGTACCGGTCTCGAAGATTCCGGTAGTGATGCTGTTTGTTGGACGGCACGGAGAGACGGCCATTGGTACCGATGCAAACTGCAAGTACAAGATTTAGAAATTACATGGCACAAATCAAAACGAAATGTGAAGAGACTATCGTTACTTGGATTCTCACACATTCTTTCTTAATTTCTTCATAATCATAAATAATATTGACAGCAATATACATACAATTATGTTTCCGTTCACATCAGTTAATTAATTTCGTAATGAAAAGGATGTGAATATATATATTCATTAGTTTAATATTTGCTTTTAAGCTCTGCCAATTTGTTGTTGAATAAATTGGTTTTATATTGCAATTAAAATTAAAACAACAAAGCAGAGTGAACGTAACGATATTTGTTTATCACTAAGTTGCATATGACAGTATCTTCCAGATACATATATGTATGTATGTAGGTGTTTAATGTGACACGATTATTGAGCAATTTGAATAACGGTTCAGAAAGCATGCGGGATTTCTATGTAAAGAAAACCGCGTTATTCATTTCCGATTACGATAATTTAGTAGACACCACCCACACTTAATAGTATATTCCCGCAATAATCTATAGATAGGGTTTTATCTGTACGAAACATATATTGGTGGGCGAACCACCTCCATAAAGTATTATGTACACGTGCTGCCGTGATTTTGTTGTGCAATTACAGTCTTCAGTCGACTGTATTTCAGAATGACCAACATATATACGTCGGAGGGACGAAGTTTGTAAAAGTAAGTACAGTAGGTTATAATAAAGATTTATAATATTACAGAACGAGATAAGCTATTTCCCATATCTCCTGGCAAAATTATCCATTGATTTATATATTCTCGGAAATTAATATTAACATTGAAAATCATCATTTATATATACATTTCATAAGAGAGTTCTTTTTACATCAAATAGATTTAATATACGATTTTTCTCTCAGAAAAACGCAAAGTTTCTATTTTATACAGCAGAAAAAGCAAAGTTACTTTTATTGATGCACATAAAATATTACTTTTTTCATGCATTATAAATAATAAGAAGAATTTTATAAGTTTTTCTAATTAATATTTACAACAATAAAAAATCTGAATACGTACATAGTAAATTTTACTAGGTATGTGCATGGTAAAATTAATCGAACGTATTTTATATCCTATATTGCAATAGATATTTAATCAGAGAAACTTATAAAATTCTTTACAATGTCATTTTGTCTCATGATTACCATAATTTTTAGGGTAAATTTTAAGAGAAAAATATCTGTGTATATATTTCACTTCATCTCTTGTTTTTAATTATATCCATATTTTTTATTGGACCAATTGCAAAATCCTATTGCATATTGATACAAAAATTTCTATTTTCTTTACTAAAAATATAAGAAGAATATAAAGAGTAAAATTTTAAATATGCCTTCTCAATTTTTTTCAATATGACTTCGGAGAGTCCATACTTTTATTTCTTATCTTCCACAATTACTTTTTATCTAAGATAATACATATAAAATTTTACGAGAGTAAAAGAGAGGAAGAGATAAACTTTGAAATAAACACTGACTGCACATAATTTTCGCCGCAAGAAGTCAGTAATTACGGCTGATTGTGAGCAGTACCAAAAACATCGGTAAGTACATCGGGAACTGAACGGCCAATTTCTCCTGATAAAATGGCCGCGTATAAAAGAAAGATTCATACCTTTATTAGATAGACCCTCGCGCATAAGTTCCTTATTCGCAAAGCAAAGAAATAAATGCTGCGGCGAAGAGTGAAGGAGCATAGTCGCACGTTCACTCCCCCGGAATTTGGTTTTGCTCTTAGCTTAAATCTCGACTCGCATCTTCGCCAAACGGTTCGCAAACGAGCGGCGGCCGCCTTTCGCTCGCGATCGGCATGCGATCGGCCGAAAGAGAGCAGTCTTAATCTGACCGACGATCGGAGTCATGCGAAAATAATTGCGCGGTAAGATCCTTCGTTCTTCTTGCGCGAGATACTCGAGGGAAGTAATGCACCCCAGAAAGAAGCTTCCTCATCGGAGACGTCGCGGAAGAGAAGAACCGGTGTACTCGTGTACCAGGTATGTATTTCGTATCGAACAGATGCTATACCGATGACAGAATCCCACCGAATGCACGTGCTGTCTGACATGACGACAGGACTCGAGAATGCGGTGCATCTGCATCGACGATGCACCGCAGCTTTTCTGTATCGCGAATCCGAATCGCGTCGAAGATAAACGAGTTGATCGTTATAATGAAGAGATATATGTTATATTTGTCGAAATTGCCACAGCTGATGAGTTTTTATCCGAGAAGAAATGCTGGAGTGAAATCGTAGATTTTTATGATTAATAAATAGAAATTATTATTATTGGGGTTATAACTTTATTCAAAAAATGTACATTCATCTTCGAGATCGATGGCGTGGATACTAAATTAAGCATCAATCAAATTTCCTGCATTTGCTGAAACACCATGCATATTCTCATTTTCCTCTTTCCGAACATTTCCTGCATTTGTTTTGCGCAAGTTTCACCTCGAACAAATTGATTTCTTACTTCAGAATTAGATTTTATTGCTAATCTAGTTTGAATGCGCTTTCACTATTGTAGCAAAAATAGAAAGAATATATGCAGTTAAAATTATTACTTTCTTTTTTTCCAAACTCGTGAATAATGTAGTTCTTTAATCATACCCTGATCTTCTCTTGGAACACAGTTAAAACCACAAAGTAATAAATCATCACAGGGAAACTGAGACAAGTTTCGGTTCGTATTTTACACTTTACTACTTATATATATGTAATTATCAGTGTTACAAAAATGGACAAAGCCTGTGTGAGTCCTTGACATTTTTTACGGCTAGTAAAATTTTAATAGCTACAGCAATCGATAATAACGCGCCGTACGGTGGTCTGGGCCGAAGGAAATAACGATTCGAACCGAGAGGAACTTATGGAAGATGGTTCGATAAAAAGAAGTGCTACGAGCGTGATGGTCGGGATACGGATAGACGTTTAGACAGAGGATGGAGCTTCACGCCGAGAAGTGTCGGTTAAGGTCGGCGGGCCGACACGTTCTCGTTTTCCAACCTCCGAGGCTCTCTCTCTTTCTCGCGCGGCACGAAATTCATCATTAGATCCGCAGGTCCGAGGATACACCCCGGCAGAAACGTGCTGATTATCCCCGACGATGGGGCTACGAAAATTGCTCTTTCTCTCGCGCAAAATTAACATTCTGCCAAATTTACGACGCCTGCATGCGCCCATGTCCGAAGACAATAGCGACGATATATTATTGATTACGAACGGGGTGCGAATATATTGTTGGCCTTCGAAATTTTTCGAGGAAATTTTGCTGAATTACGAGGAATTATTATGATATAGTTTGAAGATATTGAAGGTAATGATTATAATTGAGGTATTAATTCTGTCGAAGCCACGAGGTGGTTACTTCTTACAATCGCTTAGGAAGAGATGAATTTAGCCAAAGTGGCCAATTATGAGGAGAAAAAGAGGAAACACATACAATTTAACTCGCGATTCTAAGAAACTCTCGCATAAGATTATACGCAGAAGCTTTCTCGGATGTACTGTAAAAAAAAATAATATTTATGCTTAACAGTTATATTCGAAGTAAAAAGAGAACCGAGCAAACCGGAGGTTTGCTGTCTCAAATATAGCTTTAAATGTTCGAACGATAAATCTGACAAAAACCGCGAAATACAAGGGGGCGATGTAGGAAGACATGTAAAGAAACCATGCGACATCGGGCAGGACGCCGAAATCCCGCGGTGAGACAAGGTGAAGTTTCTTTTGTGAAAGCAGGACCAACGTGGTCCTCATATCCGACCACCGTCTAAGAGGAGAGCGTCGATTTTTATGCGGCACTTTAAAATGCCTCCTTCTCTTCCATTAAAGGCCAAAAGTAATATGAAATAACCACATGCTGATGGCGGCGGCGGCGGTGCCGTTTATTTGAGCTCGTAAACATCGATACTCCTCCGTCGAGAGCTCGCGCAATCCCTACCATCAAAATCGTTTCTGGGTTCTAAGGCTCCTCTTCGTCTTCTCTTTCTCTTTCTCTCTCTTTCCCATTGTAAAAGAGAACCCTGCGGCTAAATGCCCGACGAAATAAAACCCAGGTATCATAAACGCGCGAAATAACTATCGACTCGAGCTTGCTTTAAAAAAAAAAGGATTCAAGGTGAGAATGGATTTCAGAGAACGGATAAAAGGGAGGATAAAATTGAAACTGCGAAAAAGAGAGAAAGAGATTATTTTGAGGCGGACTCATCCTCTCTGATAAGAAAAATATAAAAAAAAAAAATGAATAAATTTACTATTATCCGCGTTTATAATTTTTTAAATATATTTTTATATAGTATATATAGCCCAAATATTAATAAATAATTAAAATTAAAAATATAATAAAAATACATGTAAAGCAATAAAATACCTTTTACTTTTCCGAAAAAGTATAAATAGAAAAGAAAAATTGAAAAAAGCAGATTTTTTTGAAAGCGAAAGAAGGAAGATAGATTATTGGAAATTGGAAGATAAGTCTAGGAATAGACGCACCGTTGCATTGCACATGCAGAAGAATAATGCATTTCCCGTTTTGTGATGATGAAACCTCTCATAATACTAAATCAAACATCGAAGTATTGATCTGCAATAAAAGTCACGATGTAAATACGAGTTCGCCATTTATTTCGGAGAAGCACTTTGCAATATAAATCGTGATTAGAATGGAGGCGTGAGAAGATATTGAAAGAACGAAGCGATTTGCTCGTAATTCTGCAGCTTAACGGTTTCCGCATTTCAACGAAGTCATATGACGGGTTTCGAAGTGAGAAGTTTATGCAGACATTTACAGCCCCTTTATATGCAGACATTCTGATTTTTTTTCCATCTCAAGACGGACACCAGCCAACGCGAGATTTTCATATGAATTCGAATAAATCGAAGACAGTAATCGATTTGCCATCGCATATATATTCCTGATGTATCCTTTCATTCACATACTTCTTCATAATATTCTCTTTCAAGTCGCTTGATCAAT